AATTTTGATAGAATGTTCTAGAAGGAAAAGTAGTGAGAGAGAGGGTGAAGACACTAGTTTCTAGGAATACACAGAATTAGATAGTACAGAATTCAAGAGAAAGCAATTAAGGGTAAAACCAGATATTAGTATGGGAGTGCATGCAGGTATGGTTGAAGTTGGATTTCCAGGTAAAAGTGATTGAAAGAACAATAGAGTTTAGACTGAAAGGAAATATTACTTGAAATGAAATATTAATTGAAATGAAATAAAATTAGAAAAAATATTTACAGATAGAAAAAACCAAAAAGAGTTATTTCGCCACATCTTTTTTTCTCTTTTTAGATTACGTTCTTACCTTTGTTTTATAAACGCTATTGCTTAAAAACGTTTCAAATCATTAAAATTGGTAGTGGGTCCATTATTAAGCAAAGTTCTCTAAAAAAAGAGTACAACTGTGACAATTCACCGTTTGATATTAAAGATAGCTACATCGATTTGGACATCTTAATCTTGAGTACAATTGTCAGATCTTTTGCTTATATTCATGTCTGATTACTGATAATTCCGATTTGACCATTTTGTTTAATTAAATGCCCAAATAATACTCAATCAAAAACTTCAAGGATGTTTGCAATCCTGACTACATGAGTAAGAGCTTTTACAATCACTTACTTAAGATCACTAAATTTTACAGTTGGTTAAATGCTTTCTAAATTTACAAAGTAGTAGAGAATTTGGGCATATTATTCATAAATTTAATAAGAAACCAATTATAATTCGTCTCCTATTTTTATTACATTCCAGTTTTTTTGAAAGGAACAGGGTTACAGCACTTAATGTTCAAAAGTTGATTATTTATTGTCAGGTTTATTTTTTAATGACTAAAGAAAAGAAGGGAATTTTGATGAATTTGATGTATTTTGAATATATTTTCTTCGAACTTCGATAGTCCTGTTTTCACGACAATATCCTTTATCCAGTTTTCTACTTGTTCTATTGCTTCAGCTACCTACCTATTAATACTTTTACTTTATTTTTAACATACAGTTCATTCTACAACTTTAATTCCCATTCTGATACTGTTATCAAGAAATAAACATCAATATCAATCGAACCAACTTGATATAACCAACGACGATCTCTGTACATCCGAAGCTATGTAACACCTAAAATAATCAGTTTTGATTGCTCAGGGTGGAAATGTTTAAATACGTAGATACGTCAGATATATGGTCTTATTTTACAGTCCTTGTACGTCGAATTGTCATCAAAACAGTGAATACATAATATAAATCAGGTGTAAAATGTAGACAAGTTTTGGAATACCCGTAATTACTTTTGGGATTAGTATAATAAAGAAATGGTCTACTTGCTGTACCTATCTAAAGTTTGGTTTAGAACAACTTAACAAATAATAACGAAAAGTTGGAAAGGGGTTTTATTCCATTGAAACTTCGAGTTACTTGAAAAACTAATGACCACAGCATAAATAATAATACAGCTTTTTTACTTATTATTTTTAATAATCTGTTAAAAACACCATTATACCTATATAGCTCTGATTTGATTCACACACTTCTCTAGTAAATGAACTGATCTGAAGAAATCTTTTAATTGTTCTTAATAATCAGCAATATCATCATCATCATCTTTAAGTCGTCAGTCCTAAGACTGGTTGAACACGCATCTCCACTCTTTTCTATCCTGAGCTAATCTTCGCATTTCCCCCAAAACTAGAACAATATATCTACTATAAAATGCTTCCAAACATTATGTAAACATACTGGAGTTTCACGTCCTTCCCATTTTATGAGTACATAGTATATGTATGTATGCTTTTATACAACAACAATATTGGTAAAGGCTTTCCTAGTCAGTTAGTGAACTGTTGCTGTTCTGACTCGGGTATAAGGCCGTCTTGTGTTGAAGTTGCTTCCTAACGTTTCGCTAGCACTAATGGAAAAACTTCTTCAGAGGTCCTTCCATCTCCTAGGCTGGATGAAGACTCAGTCTCAGACTCAGCATCAGTTTACAAAAACATTAAGTTACTGTACTTTATTGCCATCTACCGGTGTATGCTGTTAATTGAAGTATTTCAAATGTTACAAAAGGACCTTAGTAAGGTACCGACCCTACTTGTCCAGTTAAATTGACGTGGAGGCTTATATACATGAAAAGAACGTAAACCAAACTTATAAAGCGGATCATGTTCTTTAATTATTTAACGAAACTACCAGATTTGATGTCATCAGCACGCCGCCTGCTGATGAGACCAAATAAATTATTGACCAAAAACTTCATCCTTTCATTCTACCGACAAATCGAATATATTCTGTTGTTTTTATGTTTGACAGTATAGGTAGTAAATAAATCTATAGTTAAAAAAAATTACGAAATACATAACACAACTATCTCAAGTTTGGCAGACGAAGATTATGCTTATATCTGTAGATATCCTTGTTATTATCCTTGCTAGTGGAGTCGCACTCACCATTCGTATAAAGACCAGCAACTGATAACAGTTTATTAGGAAAAAGAACCTTTATTCATGGTTGCTATTTCTCCGAATATAGACCAGTTTAGTACAAATGTGGGGCATGTGTTTATAAATTAGGAAAAATTTTAACAAACACTAGTACGTATTTTAATAAGGAATTCAATTACTTTTGGTTGGATTACATATACCATAATAAATTTTATTTAGAAAGATATTTTTATGA